TTATAACATAAAAATCGATTTTCTGAAGATCTTTTTTTTTGTGAGTTTGGGCCCTTTCTACTGCAAAGGCCTCATATGATGAAATGGTTTTTTTTTATATAAAATTCCAAATCCACTTAAATTCCGTTTCCACCTACAACATGTTCACAATTTTAACAAATAAATAATTTTACTCAGATGGTATCGAGCACCAGAACTATTTTTTACACCAGCACAATATGGTTATGCAGTTGATATTTGGTCGGTGGGATGCATATTTGCGGAATTAATGTTGCGAACGCCATATCTTCCAGGAGATACGGATCTCGGACAACTTGAACTGATATTTCAAGCGTTAGGAACGCCCACGGAAGAAGATTGGCCGGTATGTTTATATCGTAAGTTTGTAGATAGATTTACATAATAATTCTAACAATGTCATTGATATATAATTTTTAAGGGGTTTACTGAACTTTCAAAGTCAGTCCAATTTCAAAAGTACAGTAGAACACCATTGAAAACACTTTTTACTGCGGCAGGAAATGATGCAATAGATTTATTGGAAAAGATGTTAACATTTGATCCAAACAAAAGGATCTCAGCGCGCGAGGTAAGAAACAAATATTTCATTATCACACATTTTTATACCAACAACGAATCCAATATGTCTATATTGTTTTAGGCTTTACTTCACCCCTACTTTCGTAATAAACCAAGGCCTACTACTCCAGTAAAATTACCGAAGCAAGAGCAAAAATTACAAAATTCTAAATGAGGGCGTAACTCTTGTAAGGACTGAAACGAAGAAGATGGAACTTGTATATTCTTTTGCTTATAAAGTAACACTTTATGATAATAAAATATAGGTTGTTAAAATTCAAAAGATGATTTAACAAGCTATCATAGTAAACAAATGAAATTACATATTGCTATTATATTACATTGTATTTATTCATAAGTTAATTCTCAACATCTTGTTGGTGAGATTGTAAGTCCAATAATTTGTTAAACAAAATTTGATGAAAAATTTCACCAAATTTGGGGCTAGTGGTTAATAATAATGCTTCCATCGTCTCAAAAGGGTGATTAACCCATTTATTGACAGTTTCTAAATCAATATTGTTGACTTCATTAGCAGTAGGATATGGGCTCGCGTCCGTAATCTATATATAATAAGTAAATTGTGAATTTCTGATGTTGGTTTCGAGTGTATGTGAGTGACGCGAATTTTAATTATAAGTTATTGTAGTTGGGTGAAAAATTTTGGTACGGTGGTATGAGTGTAGATAAGTGATCGAATCAAACATCTGTCAAAGATATTTGATCGATCACTTAACACCCATACCATCGTCCGATTTTTTATCCAGCTATATAATAACGGTATTATTTTCCGGTTACTTGTTACTGCTATACCAAATTTTGATCATTTTGTACAGTTGAGTTAAAATACTTATTAGATAGAGTTGATTATGTTATCGACCTTGTCTAATAAGAATTTTAAAACTCAACCGTACAAATATGATCAAAATTTGGTATGGCAAAACATAACCGTACAATAATGTGTAGGATATTTCGATTAATTATACGACACGTACAATAAAACCAATATCCGTAATGCTAATAGTTAATTGAATGTTTTCAAGCAAACAAAGTTGAAAAATTGAATTTTTTGCAGTTGTCTGAGAGATTTTTATGGAGTTAGGTTTAATACCATACTCAAATTCCGAAAGTATGTTTGTGAGTTCTTGAGACACGAAAGATGGAGTTGATGTTGATGTTGACATATTTATTAAGACAAGAGAAACCGTCAAATTATGATTCGTGGAATTCACGTTGTTTTATTGATATTACGCAGAGCGTGCCAATTTATTAAATAACACCACTGCACTAGTATTAGCGTGACCATGCATATCAATTTTGGTAAGTTCAAGATTTGATCAATTAAAGGCTATATAGAAACATTAATATACAATAAAAGACCTTAATCTATTAATTTACAAAATCATTTACAAATATATATATATAATATACACATATAATATATATATTAATATGTATCTTCCTTTTATTATCAGCGCATAGTGATAGCAATAGGCATTGCGGTATTGAGGAGACTGACTCACAGGAACAGACATACCAATGTCAAATCAATTGACGGGATAGAGTCATGCCAATTGCTCCGGATGCCAGAATATGAGTAAAACTCTTCCTACCCAAATTGACAAAGAAAATGACTGCCCTAATTTTTATCAACATAAAACATATTCGTCCCAATAAACATCACAATACTTTTTTAAATGCCAACTTCTTGGTTTCTTCCATTTGCGTTGTTTAACGCCATGCAATTTTGTAATATAATAATAATACCTCTCATCACTAAAATATGTTACAAGTTTTGGTAAACCGTCCGTACTATGCACTGATAAAAGTTTAAGTTCCAATGGCACCCCTTGTAATGAAGGTGATGATAAAGTTGAAATTGATAGTGAATTTGAAGACTCTCCTCTTTGACCTATCAATATGGAAGTTTGCGGATTGGATGTATTTGGGGGGTTGTTATAGTTTATGACTGATGTCCTAGGTGAATTTGCCAACTCACGAACATCTTGCACAATACCATTTTCAGATATGGGTGAAGTTGAAATTGGTAATGATGCCGATCTGTATGCAAAGTTAATATCTTTTTTCTGTATAGGAGATGGATCGGATGATACTGAATTTGATCGAGGTTTTATGTGTGCGGACAATGTAAGAGTGGATCGTGTGCGTCGTATAAGTTGTGTTGATTCGGTTTGCAAAAGTCCTCGACATGATCTACATGTGCAACTAGTCTCGTGAGCATTTGTGAAATACTCCATTGGTGTTAATTTTTCCTATTATTATTATGTATAAAGGAAATTTATTACTATCATTTTCTTTTAAAAGTCTTATAAATTGTAAATCCGAGTGGTACATACCTTATCAACGCGTTTTACAACCATCTGCAAAGGAAATACTATTTAATTTATTTTTTAATATCAAATATGATATACCAAGAATATCATGAAAATTACCTTCTTTCCATCTTTTATTCTCTTAACCGTTATGGTTTCTGAATATTTACCAGTTCCACAAATCACCTTTTCTTTCTTGCCTCCTTTCAATTTTTTAAATGTACTAGAAAGCTTCTTAAAAAATCCCCATTGTGTTGTCTTTTTTTCCGACCTATCATCATTATGTTTTGTACACTTGACAATGGTATAAATATTTCCTTGAGAAAGTTGATTCAAACTATCGACTAAAGATTTTCCACAGCATTCGAAAGCACAAGACGAATCTTTAAGTTCAATTGGGCCTACGGAATGACGGTGAGTGTGTCGTCTCCGGAAAATTAATGTGGGTTTTTCATGATGATGGATTTTGTTGTCATCATTCTCATTTATTCGTGACGCTTGAAAAGAACTGGATTCTATATTTTCGATATCATTTTCAGGAATATTATATACGCTGAGTGGGGAATTTGGAATGTGGAATGAACGAGATGGTGAACCAGGGGATCTGACAGTAAGCCTTGATGGGAGAGAAGTTGTTGACCGAGATTTGTAGAGTTGTATTAATGACGATGGAAGTGACTCTTGTCGTGGCATATCTGAACGGCTCGAGTTGATAATCGCCATTGATTGCATACAGATTTAAGTTTTGTTGTATATTTTTCTTCTTTTTTTTTTTTTTTTTTTGATAGGGGTTTATTATCAAAAAAAAAAAAAAAGAATGGTTGGCGAAGATGTTGACAAATTTTTTAGGGCGGGAGGAGAGGGAGGTGCACAAACCAAAATGCTATATCTGTGGACTGTATTGGTTTTTATAATTTTCTATAATTTGTCAGCGGATATGGAAATTGAACAATGGACAAGGTTGGCAAAGATTGCGACAAACCCTTAACTATGCATATGTAATTTACCCGCATATCGATTGGACGAATGGTTTAAAATTTGATTCAAAAGTGTGATTTCATTAATCCTGTAATCTGTCCCCATCTTACATACTTGGAAAACTAAACATCGTTTTTTATTTTTATCTCACCAAAGAAATTTTCAATCAACTTATTTGTACAACGGGATGAAAGAAATATTAACAAAATTGCTTGATTTAAAACGAACTGTAACTTTATTTCTATATAGAATGATAAGAATTTTCTACTTAGCATAACTATAAATGCGCGTACATAATTGTGCAATCAGTATATCCGATCTCCGTTCGATGTTACATGTATTGATCACTTGATCCTTAACTTATCAAATTAGATATTTTCATTGTTCGAGTGCTCCAATGGCGCGAAACAATAACATTAATGTTTAAACAATGGCAAAATGAGTTCAACAAATTGAGTATTTTTTTCTCTTTAAAAGTTTTCTAGAAGGCACACTTACCCTATCTGTAGTTATAAAGTATACTACCGTAAACGCCGGATACAAGATTCCCCAGATATAGGCCCCCTATGTACTATACCCGGGCCTATAACATGGGATAAAGTTTTAGTAGTAAAAGACCCGGGGTATATAAATAGGAAAAAACTAATAAAATAAACCCCAACTATCATTTAATTATAGGTTTTTTAAAATTGGTAAATATAACAGACATGGTTTTGTATCCGGCAGTTTACAGGTAGTACCAGTTTATAATCCGGAATTACTAAATATTCGGAATTCGGAGCATATTTGTAGCACAAGACTAGGGGACGTTAATATTTAGTGTATATATATATATATATCATATATTATTAGAATTATTTAAATTGAATCAACGAAAAAACTCATTCCGTTATTTAACCGAAGGGCCATACATGACTGACGCTTGGTTAGGGATGTTAACAGAGTGCTCCAGGGTGTTGTGATGCATACTCTGGCAGAATATTCCTTAACACCACACGTATTATATTATAGTATACTTCGGAGTGTAATCCAGAGTATAACCCGGAGTACTGTTATAATTTACTGTAAACGATGAGAAGAAAAATATATTATACTAGCATTCTTGCACATCCTTACGGACGTGCAGTAGTCTACAAATCAATGAACATGAGAAGAAATAGTTTGTTTCAATTATCTTAATTAATAAATAATCATTGAATGATATAGAATTAACTTATTTTGAAAATAAGTGGGGTTCAAAAAACCCTATTTCTGTTTTGAAATTCAAAACTAGCAAATGAAATAAGAATATTTTTTGACGATATATTATAAACATATATAATTTATAGACCACTTATTTCAGTATTTCGAAACAAAATAAACAAAATAATTTTATTCGAAATCAGGAATCTGTCATTAATTCTGAATCACTCTATTGTACTCACCAACCGATTTAAAGGCAGTTCGCTAAAGAA